TTGGAATGAAAATGAAAAACTGAATAAGTTAGTTGCTCTTGAAACAAATCAGTGATTTTAGCTTTCGTAATGTTAGATTCAAGTATTCGAAGATTTGGGTAGTTATTATGTCACGTGGAATACTCTTTAGAAATTCTTACCTTAAAAAAAGAGATAGGTTTTACAACTTTATCTTTGCAGCCGAACCCAAATGCATCCAAGGTCAAGCCTACAGGAACCCATTTGGCGATTTTGTCACCTGCAATACTGGTGCTGGCTGCCCGTCCAATTATGAATGCTACTACGATGGAGAACAATGGGGTTGTTGTCCTTCCAAAGGTATTATATCCGAAAAGACCGAACTGTGTAACATTAAAGTGTGATTTAGCATTCACCTGCTCTCTCAGTGCTGACCCCGGAGTACAATGCGGATCTGGATCGACATTCAAATTCTTCTACAACACGCAAACACAGAATTGCGAAAGTTTCCAATACAACGGCTGCGATGGAAATTCAAACAATTTTGCAAACAGGGAAATGTGTGAACAGTACTGTAGTGTTGGAGGTGAGTTTTTTCTGAGAGCAAACGTTTACACAAAAAATTCCACATGGAATTACCAACTTTGCAAGGCAAAACGAACGCAACTCCTAATAAATAACAATTTTAGGATGCCCTTATGGTGGAACCCCACTTCGTGACCATTCCGGCATGACGGCGACTTGCTCAACTCAAGAAAATTGCCCCTCTTCGCACGAATGTGGTCCTGTGATCGTTGGAGGCAGTACCATCAATCGTTGCTGTCCTACAAGATGTAAAAAATTCATTCCTTATACGCATCAAGCGAGAACACTATCCATCAAATGATTCTTTTAGCTTACATGTGTGGTCTTCCACCTCAGCAAGGCACTCAGTGTGGAGCAAACTTCGTGACACGCTATTATTTCAACATTGTCACCGGCCAATGCACACCGTTCCAGTTTGGAGGATGTGATGGAAATTATAACAATTTTTTGACCTCACAACAGTGTCGGAGCTTTTGTTATAGCAGCTGTGAGTTTCCATAGATTGACAAAAACTAAATTGAGAAAGAACAGGAAAATGAATTGTGAAGGATAATCTAAAATCTGCTACACGCGGCTGGTTATATAGAATTTCTAGATATCATTTTCACGATTCTCAAAACCTCTATTTCAATTCATGGTTGAAAGCCTCGGAAAAGTAGAGTAAGAAACCCAGAATGCGTGTTGAAGAAAGTCCAA